AACANACANACACAACAAACACAACTTACACANACACACACACACACACAACACAACACACACACACACACACACACACACACACACACACACACATATATATATATATATATATATATATATATATAATGGGCCCAATATATATTCTCACTCAGTTCATCTCCACATATTTTCATACACATAGTCTGGACCCAGAGACGCGACTGAAATGCGGTTCTGTGTGCACGGCATGGCAACGGCTGAGCCGCCAGTCGGATGGGGGCTACTGGCGTAGTGTGGTGCTTTCAACTATGAAAGGTAGTCTGATCGAGAAGGAAGCGATACCTTCATGGCGCGCCCTGTATATCCGTTCAGGTATCCCAAGACTGATAAATGTGGGCGGTTGAGGTTGTAGGCACAAATACACACGGCATGGCTGAGAAATGTGGGTGGAGGGTGTAAGTGTATATCATATTAGTGAGCACTTCTCTAGTATGGTCTTACTCGGCCCTTAACACATACTGTGTGCCCGTATACCCGTACTTCTGCACAGAGTTACGAGAATTGTGTGTACATAGGAAACGTGCGTATACACAAATGTGTATATAATCACGCACACACTCAGAGGTACGGCACGGACGTACATACATATGTTCTCAAGACATATACACACCATAGACACTTACACGTACACACATATAAACAGTGAGATGCGTGGACATGTCCTTTGCTCACAACACAAAATGAAAACCTATTTACGGTGTTGCTGTACAACGCTACCACTTCAGATGGTACCGGAATACACACACACACATACTCAGAAAACAATATACACACGCTATCTATGATACCAGCTCTGTGTATACATATCTTGCATTTCCTCTCCCCCGCCCATAATAGAGTACTGCCGACGGTTGATGAGCCATGTGCGCTACTGCTGTATCCCCTGTATCGAGACAGCGGCAATTGCTTGCGAAAGTTTTCTGAATCATGACAACCTGACGAAATGCCATTTTGAACCGCTTCTAATCCAGCCAACTCACTGTCCTATCGGCGAGGTATTCGCATCAACCTGATGTAGAATTGCACTTATAGGCCAACTAGTTTCTGTTGGTAGCCAACCATGTCCACGAACTATTGTCGGATAGCGTTCCATATTGGTGGTGACAGAACCCAACAGTTTCGTGACATACCGACTCACTCCTATGGCGTATACTGTGGTCAATGTTAAGTGGTAGTGTACTTCGATAGTTCGCGTCTGAGATATTTGTTTTATGCACCACATGCTGGAGGACAGTAGCCCTCAAATACATTACTGGCACTAGAAGCCAGGAGATCTTAGTGGGTTTATTGTCCAACAGTCGGTGTTCTGTCGCATTTGCCGAGTAGGTCACTAGGTCACCATAAGGCGCATCATGACCAGGGCATGTGGTCGGTGCTGCGTTTTTAGATTTTGTATTCTATACCTGAACACCCGAGAACATTTGTCTGCACCATAGTAGCAAGGTATTTTTGCGCTTCGTGTGTCGATATTGGAGGATCTAGCGCTCGCATACGCTCTTAACACATCACGACGAGTGCAGAACGCACCTTCTGATTGGGGTTGCTGTAGGTAGTCATGAACAGTTGTTTGTATATAAGCTGGACAAGGTGAAGTAGTTCCTAGTACCTGTTATCTTATTCGAGGACACTTGCACTGAAACAACGGCTGAGGAACATCCATCGACGGCCACCTAACCACTGAATCACACATATTTATTCCACCCCTATGTCCCGCAGCCATGTGTCTCCATGTAACCACTGTATTACACATATATCCCCTCCCTTCCCTTTGCAATATCCCGCAGTCATGTGTCTTCGTATAACCACTGTATTACACATATATCCCCTCCCTTCCCATTGCAATGTCCCGCAGTCATGTGTCTCCATATAATCACTGTATTACACATATACCCCCTCCATTCCCATTGCAATATCTCGTAGTTATAATGTGTCTCCATATAACCACTGTATTACACATATATTCCCTCTCTTCCCATTGCAATATCTCGTAGTTATAATGTGTCTCCATATAACCACTGTATTACACATATATTCCTTCTCTTCCCATTGCAATATCTCGTAGTTATAATGTGTCTCCATATAACCACTGTATTACACATATATCCCCTCCCTTCCCAGTGCAATATCTCGTAGTTATAATGTGTCTCCATGTAACCACTGTATTACACATATATCCCCTCCATTCCCATTGCAATGTCCCGCAGTCATGTGTCTCCATATAACCATTGTATTACACATATATCCCCTCCATTCCCATTGCAATATCTCGTAGTTATAATGTGCCTCCATATAACCCCTGTATTTCACATATATCCCCTCCCTTCCCATTGCAATGTCCCGTAGTTATAATGTGTCTCCATATAACCACTGTATTACACATATATCCCCTCCATTCCCATTGCAATATCTCGTAGTTATAATGTGTCTCCATATATCCACTGTATTACACATATGTCCCCTCCCTTCCCATTGCAATGTCCCGCAGTTATAATGTGTCTCCATCTTCCCCCACTCGTATCAGAATGTTTCGCGTGAGATCACCACCGGTCACAGACAGACGATCAGACACTTCCAGCGCAGTCAAGAGCACGAGAATGAAATCGCAAGGGGTGCAAAAGCGAAGAGTGTACTTGGAAGCATACCGCGCCAACAGGTACAGTCCAGGCTACAACCACATGTGTGAGTATTGATTTGCGCCACATCTACGTAGTGCTGGCTGGCTCTGTTCACATTGAATTGGGGACTGCGCTACTTGCTCGAAGTGGATCAGATGCGAATTTTCATCCGGAAATTGGCGTACATTTGTGATATATGTATGCTGCTGGGGGGTTTATCGTCGTCTATATTCATTTTCTGAAGCGGCTGTGGCTGCGTTCATCGTTCTCACGCTAAACATCCTGTGGATCAGAATGATTCTCCCGACCTAAGGACTCGACAACACGTAGTCCATGCCGTTAACATCACCCCCACTTCTAAACCCTCGCAGGCGTGCCTACTACCGGCACAATCCCCGTACGTCTTCGATCGCGAGGTCGCCATGCTTTGCGCAGATCTGATTTTCGCCAAGGCTTCCGCACGGTGCGACGCGTTCGCTGTTGGGCTCTCCGGCAGCTACGGCTACTACCTGTACACCCACCGACACCACTTCAATCGTGCGCTGGCGTTTCTCCAATGGTCCCTCGCGGACGACCCCGGTAGGTGCACTGACGTGTTGTGTAGGTGCAGTGTTGCGGTGCTGTATAGGTGCGTTCCGATCAAGTCAATGACGGCGTTGGACGCGTAGAGTTATCCAGGAACGTAAGGGTGTTTGTGCAGGCATGCTGCAGAGTTTCGGGTGTCATGAGCGGCATGCGCGTTAGCGTTTACCACGACGTCAGTCTGTGGCAGAAATCAGTAGGAGATTCGGATATCCGGAATCTACAGAATTACCGCACCACGCGACCGATTGATTTGTATGGACAGGGCATGGTTCAAGTATATATAGCAGATGGCCACATAGAACGGGCACTCATATTCTGTTCTGTGCACCGTGTCGCGTGAAGATCTCTGACTCGCACTGATGTCTGCCATGCTCCTATGTTTTCATCAGACGATCTGTCGAGCCTTTTTGTACTTGCGCATCTGGTCCACTTCCAACTCAGGTGTGTGTGTAAATATACGTGTTCATGGCTGTTTTGGTATAAAATATCTCACTCGCTATAGTAATATTTCCTCTGAGGTCGAAGAAAATGCAAAGTGTATGCCACAACTTGCAAAGTATCTGTCGGTGTACTTCTGTTTTGGCATGGGCGTGCACTGTTGCCAGCCGCATAGTATTCAAACGAGGCGACCATTGAATTCCAAATGCCACTTTATCACGTACCACCAGGGATTTGGATCAAGCCGAGCAATATTACACTGAAGTGATGGAGAGCTCCGAGACACCCTTTGCAGAGTGCTACATTAGACTAGCTATGGTGCATTGGCAGAAATCTCAGTTTGAGAAGGCTCAGCAGACCTACGAATCGGCTCTCCTTGTAGTAGCTGACAAGGTGGGGCATTCGAGAACGCTTTCTTAAGGGATATTTGAATATCACATGTTCCGTGATCACACCGCATATGTATTGGTGAAAATATCTGTACCTTCGATAAGAATGCTAGACGGTTTATTTGAGTCACCACCGTTATATGGCCGAAATGAGTGCTGCGCTGTAACTTGTAGGTGGTTTGCAGCCTGGTAGTCGCATTGTCGTGAAGTGTAAGTGTCCTTGTATAACATGAGATATTGGGCAGATTTATATATATCAAAGTTACACACAATATTGTTATATTGCCGCCTCAAATCATCTGTATGGCAAACCTCTCTTCATTCCAAATGCAATGCTGCAGGACCGAAGTCGGGTCCTCAATCACTATGCGAATTTTCAAATAGTACTCCGAGACTACGATGAAGCCATCACCATAGCCAGCAAAGTAGGTCCGATGTTTGTATGCCTAATTATGATTTGTTTCTCATTTCTGTAAGATATTCTGATTGTTTCCGTGCCGACTTCCCGTATGGGATAGGCAAATTGGAAATCGAGACAAACATGCATATTTCTTTTACTAAAGGAGGTGTTAGCATTGGTTGTTAGGTGGTGATGTATCGTCTTAACATGTACTTTGATACAACGTAGATCGAGGAAAACAATTGGACTGCACATTGCACATGTAGTCTCCTCGAGGTGTTTTAAATGGCCTTGTTGTCTGCTGTTAAAGGTGTTGCACGTATGTTAAGGAAACAAAAATCCTGGATAGTTAGGTATACGCTTATTATCAGTACCCTCAGGAACGACTAAGAACGAGGTTCAACTGGTTTTATAAACTATCAGGCGCATATTGCCCTGCGATATATTGATCTGAGTAAGTTGCTAAGCAGTTGCGGCCCCCTTTAAGTTGTAAGCTCCTTGCACTACGTATACGCCGCACAGCTCAAATCCGCGAACTCACCAACAGGTGGTACATGCTGAGCCAGAGAACATCCACGCCGTTGGCACCCTGGCATTGCTGCTATTGCTGGTATGCAGAGCTACTAGTTTTTTTCTCATCGTAATCGACTGGTATCGACTCGTGACAAGTAGTAAGTTGCATGATGGACCCGTTTGCATGAAGTAAAGTATAAACTGTTCTGTCGAGTTCTTAGCTGATAGTTTAAGACAGTGTACTTATCGAAGACAATGTACTTATCGTCCCCCCCCCCCCTCCCCCGGACTTCAGTACAAGAATAAACCACCGGAAGCAAGGACACTCTTCAGATCAGTGTTGCCTCTGGTCACACGCACCGGACCGCACATCTATGGCGTCTTGCTTGTCTATAGCTACGCGATGTTCTGTGCACTTACAGGCTGCCAGGAGGAGGCGAAGGTATGTTGTCCAAAGGCGTTGTGTAGACATACTTGGCTTCTAAACGGCGCGTTCATTATATATTGTTGTACTGGTCAGTCGATGAGTATTGTGGGTGCGAGGGTACTTGCTCGTGGAACACCATCCGGTCGGTGGTCAAGAGTTATCGGGTGACGAGGCGCTTGATGTTGATATTATGGTAAATGCAATATCAGTATAGCCTCCAAACTGGTTTTAGGATGTAGGCGAACGTGTTTACACCACCATACCCAACATCACACGTATTGAATTCAGTGTACACCTGTGTGTACCTGGTGGAATACATATACGTAGGTGCATCGCTTGTATGTCAAGACTCAATAAGGAAACTCAATGTGATTGGGATTAATAAGTGTGCGGTCTGCATGCTCTCCTTCAGGTTATACAGCAGAGCCTGCATTGATTTCGACGGGTCTTTTTTTCCACCCAAGTTATAGCCAGTACCTAGACTTACATAGGGTGGATACATATCTGCAGTATGTACTATGTGCCGAGTTAGACAGGATGGAGTAATTGTATCTCCACGTTTCGATACGCAGATGTACTGGCGGAGGGCTGAGGAGTTGGACGTTTTCCCGGATACGTTTGAGTTCATCGAGACATACTATCTGCAAGGTATGGCACAAGCCCTCCCTCAAATGCCCTACACCGCTGCAAACATGCGTGCGTTCAGTGCCTTTCAGGAGGACATGGGGTCTGTATAGGAGCTGACGATGGCCGCTAATGATATGCTGGTAAGGAATGTTTGTAATATGAGACCGACTGATGGATAGACTATTGAGTAGTCCAAGGTCCACGTTATGAAGTAATGTTATCATGAAGTATTCACCAAGTTTCACCTTGATACGAACCGACAATCGGAGCACGATTGATCATGGGAAAGAGCGCGAGGAACGAAGCGCATTGGAATGGACACGGCCTGGAGTGTGTTTTAGCACATCGCATGGTATGAAGTGAAGTAGGAACGCACAAGATAGCTGGTCCTCCTGTGTCAGCTCGTTGAACGAAAGGTATAACAGGAAAACACAAAGTATATTTAGTCCTTATTTGCCAGCGTGTTGGAAGAAAGTTGTTACAGGAATACACAAATCAGATGGTTCGTTGTTGCAAGAAAGGTACTATAGAAAAACACGAGATAACTGGACCTATTCTTCAACGTGTTGGAATAAAGGTATAACAGGAAAAAAAAAGATAACTGGTCCTATTTGTCAGCGTGTTATAGTAAAGGTATTAGAGAGCCCCAGATAGCTGGCCTTTGCCTGCCAGTGTGTTGGATGAAAGGTATAACAACGAAACACAAGATAGCTGGTCCTATCTAAATTGATATGACATGACCACCGACAATCTCGCAACCATAAGCAGACCTGCTAATGTCTAGTACCATCACAGCAGTCATCCCTTACACACACCTACTTCCTGACAATTCTGATGAATATACACCCTCATACAGACATGCACCTGTCATGCACATACCATAGCCATGCCCAGCAGTTATCAGCATGTTTTAGCTCGTACAACCAGCTTCTTTGTGACATGTCTCTGATGGATATGGACGAGATTGCAGCAAAATCCGATTGCACATGGCGCACTTCTAATAGACTGCCACGACTTGTTGAATACAGTAATATGATACTCAAAGTGATGCTTTATGGAAGCATAAGATATTAATGTTTTTTTAAAAATTTTGCTTCAGCAATAGACACTGAAATGATCTTTTGTGGACGCACAAGGCATTAAATTGACCTATTTCTATATTATATCGTTTCCATTATTGATTCAAAACTATCATAACGTGGACCACAGCATATTAAAAATAAGTCGAACTATGAATTGTGGTATAAGCCAAGTCAAATATTCTATTTATTTTAAATTTGAACTACGATTTCAACACGGGACAACCATCGCGTACCGTGCCAGTCCATAAAAATTGCTACCGAGTTACCGGGTTTAGCCAATTATATCTAATATTAAAGCCTGCTATGACTAACGAACGAGCTTCGAAACGCCTCCGACCCAGTTTGGGAATAATTATTACTGGCCGAGTTAATCGAGTCGCCCTTCAAACTGTCAGTACCAGAGTCCGGTTGGATTCGCGCCTTGAGCGCCCACCTGTAGATGTACATACCAACAACGCACCAGACGGCCAGGGAGATCAGACCAGCTGTCACACCCCACACAATGGTCGCCGTTGTGGACTGGGGAATTATCACGAGCAGCACAAAGAGGTACAGGTACAGCAAGGTCAATCTGTCAAGGTGGTATGCAAAGGCGAAGGATCAGACTCGAGCAATGTGAATTGCGATAGGCAATAGAATCAACATTCGACGATGTGCATACAGTAATTTTATGAAGTAGATATGACTGAGAGCGGAGTAGATATTCTCTCTCAAAGCGATCGTTTACGGCTAATACAGATTCCCAATTAACTTGGCGTAGTGGCAGCAGCGGTGGATGCTACATGACAGGGTGAAGCAGGCGAGACGTTGTACAAACTTAAACATAGCGCAACAATAAAGAGATGACACAAGCTACTATCAGCAACACCACGGCCTCGCATGTTCCGACTCGTCCTATTATATATATAACTCGGCAAGGCTTCAACGAATACAAATGTGAGCTAATGTAGACGAGGTCACATACGTTAATCCCACCACTCGATCCATGCACCGCACTTTCCAGCAGGTCCACTCCTTGTAGGGGTCAGCATCGAGATGTCGCCAATAGCAGTAACTCAATATCGCGTGGATCATCACACAGCCGCCGAGACAGATGGTCAGGATAGAGACTGCGTCAACCACGGTGATCTGTACATCATGATAGATAGTAATTGGGGGAAGGATTAACATTTCTTGAACCCCCAAGGGGACCAATATGAATACGATTACGATAAATAGAGAAGAATACTGGAACGCCCATGTACTGGATGATCGTCTTTCTTAATCTGGTCTCGATTGCATGGCCGTATGTCAGATGGGAAGATTATACCCATAGGCTTTGTAGACTTCGAATACAGCACTAAACTAGTCGGAATTAAGTGACAAGCTACATGAACTTAGAACTAGTAGCGAGGACACTCGACCGACGTTCGATAAGAAAAAAAACAGTTGCTATACGCGCTCAGGTCGTTTGCAAAGTCCGATGAAATCGTTTGAGGAGAATAAGACTTCAGACATAGATAGTTAGCAATAAATACTAACAAGCACATGTATGTCCAAATAATGCTCACCTGCTTCTCACTACCAGCGATAGCGATGAGGTTCAAAGACCTAGGTTCGAGGGAAACAAAGATGGCCAGAGCCCCGAATCCAACACGCACAGACACTTGCGTAACGGCGTCATCGTCTATAATGAGTGTCAATGCTGTCATGATACCAATCAGAGCCATGGGGAACAAGTTGTACCGCGACACAATGGCGCTCCACCGAGAGAAGTTTATGTTGGCTGTGACTGCCTGGACACCGTACTTGTGCGATCGGGCAAGAACCTGTGGCATTGCCATTGCAAAAGTGGTCGCGAATAAAAGTGACTCGTGAGACAGGTAGGTGGTGTGTGCTGACACAGCCGTTCGCTGCTATAAGACATGCACCGCTGTGAGTGGTTGTATATACATTCGACTACATGAGGTATGCAGTCAAATGATAAAACCGCTCGGGCCAAACGACGCGTACAGCACAGGATGCGGCATCAGAAACGTTAAGTACACACAGCAATGGAACGTTAAGTACACACAGCAATAGATGATAAAATGCGCGGGAGCTCCTATAGACCGTGAGGTGCAAGACAACAACGAACTCGCTCTACGCAGCGCTTCAACATGCTTCTATGTCGAAACAGAATGGTTGAGGCCAACAGGCTAAACTATCGATCATGGTAAGTATCATTATGAAGCGAGGTCATAATGATACGTACCATGTAATAATGAAATGTTTCATATACAGCGCACATCTCTAGAGCCCATCACATACGTCTTGGTACTGGCCCGACTTCATTAGATAGCTCAGAGCTGTACTGTTCTTCTCAGACGTAGTGCTGGCCATACCCCACCCCGACAAGTCCATTCGGTCGATAGAGTACTTCAGGCTACCCTCAGTTGTGGGAATATTGGATTGGTAATCGTTGAACTTCACCTAAAGCACAAAACAGGCCAAAAATAATTAGGTCCCGAATAGTTCAGCTGATTGCTAGCCTAGGTCCAGAATCCAGAGTGAGACGATGAGAAACCCACCAGATCCTCCCGGAGGCAGCATTCGGGTTGAAGATCGGCATGAATATCAGTGCAATGAAACGGCCATTATAGATACGATAGAAAACAAAACAAAACAAAAAAATGTTGAACATTGCACCCAGCCTCAGCCTGGGTTATGACCTTAAAGTCACACACAGCTTGTACATGTGCAGTGCATGCACGCATGCATCCTTCATTTACCAGCATTGTACCCATGGTATATGCATGGGAGAATCCTCTTAGCATTAGCATGCACAATGCACGCGCAAAGTGAAAAAAAAATTGATCAGCTACGGGAGATGGGCAAACGACAAGAGTACATACCACGGGAGGCGTAGGCCTGTGCTCTACCCACCAATCTGGGTCGGTGGAACGGAACGGGTTGACCAAATACAAAGCCAGTTCCACGTTGTGGCTATCGAATGGGAAATCAGCGACGTCCAACCCGCTGCCGATCCGGTAGGTGGCATCGATGCGCTGTGAGTGTATTGTTTAAGTCAATATGGACAGATAATGGACTACGAGAGCAAACATGTCAAGGAGCCATCGCAGCCGAGCTGGCATGAGACAGTAGAATATTGGCAGATATCTAAAGGACGCCGTGCGCAAAGTTGTACTTCGAAGTGAAGCGGGCCGGAAAAGGGCAAAGGCAGTAAGTATGATTGAGCGATCAAACCAAAATTGAAGGTAGCCTATACTACTGACCAATTAAGCTTGACACAGCATTGAATTCCGCAACTTTGGTTGAACAATAGTGGCATCCGTTAAGTTTAGACCAAGTTCTTGTACTCGCTGAAATAAGAGTGTAATTGCAGTACTGCGTACGCACATGCAAAACACATCTCACCTGAGACGCCTGAACCCAACACTCATCGAAACTAGGACAGTCGACGAAGGAGGCAAATTCCTCCAAACTACCGGCGCACTCTTCTCCAGGGTTGCAACAGCCCACATCCTGAGAAAAGGGAACATGACGAAATCGAACTGTATTTTTAGAGCTTGCAGCATGAGCTAGAATTGAGTTAGTTTTGTGCGCTATAGCACAGGTCACAGACATGAATGGAATTGGCGGGATGGTACATAGCGGTAGGTATCAGCAACCGTCCATCGCTTAAACTGATAGGAGCATTGCCCAAAACAGGCACACACGCCAACAATAGAGTAACCACAGAGCAATACTAAATGCAGTCGGGACCTACATACCTGTCCGTTGGCCTGGAGATCAGCATCCTGCGCATTGCACTGGGGTGGACTCACATAGATGCGCTGGTCTAAAATCAGCTTTTCTATGGATATAACGGGCAGGGGAAGTAGGTCTCTGTCGGTCATGGTGGCCGACATCCCAAACTCAGGTCGCCACACAGCCTGTCAGATAGATAAGAGTTGATTAACCCTCAGAAAGCGTTGACATTTGGATAGTCATCGATATGTATGTGAAACGTACGGGATCTACAACTAGATACCGCGAGACCAACGTAGGTAGCTAGCACAACCACGTGCAAATTCAAAACCGAATCGTTTGGGAATCAAGTGCACGCCTACTGCGCGCCACGGGCTAAACATTTAAACCATCATTGCATGTTCATTCTGTTATATGTGCATTGCAATCTCTGCGGCCGAAACAGACGCTGCATTCTCCTGGCGGGCGGGCAATGCAGACGTGCGTGTACACAAACGACAAGATATCTTGCTGGCGTGATTCCATGCAGACTTCTACCAACGGATAGCCAGTCATTATATTGTACGATACACACACACGACAATCAATCACTACACAACCCTCGTACGACTTACGCAGACAGCGACCAATCACTACACAGCACTTGTATGATATACATACAACGACAGTTCAATACACAGCAGTTGTACACCATACACTCACAATAATCACCGCTTCATTCGAAGCTAAGACACCCCACCAAAGGCATCACAAAGGATTGTATAGACATACACACAACGACCAATCAATACACATCACTTGTACACCATACACACACACAACAACCACCGCTTCATTCGAAGCTGAGAGCTGAGACACCCCACCAAAGGCATCACAAAGGATTGTATAGACATACACACAACGACCAATCAATACACATCACTTGTACACCATACACACACGACAACCACCGGAGAGCTGAGATACCCCACCAAAGGCATCACAAAGGATTGTATAGACATACACACAACGATCCATCAATACACAGCGCTTGTACACCATGCAGACACAACAACCACCGCCTCATTCGAAGCTGAGACACCCACCAAAGGCATCACAAAGGATTGTTCTCTATGTAATAGCGGATAGTATTGGTCATCTGACCCCTGGTCAATTTGCATACCTCGATATCTCGCACTAAACTATAAAATAAGCGTGGGTCCTTCCATTTTGCAGCGTAGACCATTGATACGGTAAACGTATCTTCCGAGATTTCAAACTTCAACACCTCCACCATAGCGCTGACTACGTGCACCTGATATGAGTCAATGAAAGTTGATTGGAATGATTGAGCAACGCTTAAAACGTTTTTACGTATTCCAGCCATCGCGGTTTTTCGCATGCTGCACACCATCCCAGAAGTGACCAGACGTACGCTTTGACACACTGCAGATTACACGCGAAGCTGTAACACGCGTAGTGTGTAGATTGTGCTGAATCATCTGTCACATTGGCACATCGTGATAAACCTCCTAGTCAAATGCATGAGATGTTAATGAACAAATTGGTCGCCAGGATCGACGCAAACAGACGAAACAGCAATCCAACCCATCCAACACTTTGAAACCACCTGCCATCTGATGCTGTACTCCCATTCTTCGCAAACCTAGACAACAGTCTACGTACACGTACAGCACCTCTATAGGCAATAGCTACATACTAAGCTATACACAGCACCATGAGCTACTTAGAAATTCATGAGAGTTGGCGCAAAGCAGCTTACCTCCAGTGGATTTGTACAGTCACGTGGGTCTGTGCAATTGGCTACTGAGAAATCTCTGTCGAATGGGGGGACCCAACGCGGAGCTGCATCGTAACAGTCCGTCATCTCATCGTTGTTCCAGTCAAATCCTGTTTATTAAGTCGATATGATCCACGGTAAGTTTGGTAACCTTATACATAAGACTAGACAACATAATAAGTAGGTCTTCATGTCTTAGAATTATACCCTATCGAGCACTATAGTGTTCAGATCCCAAGGGGTTATGCAGAGCAGGTAAGCGTGCACTGCGAGGGTATTCGGATATGTGTAATCTTAGACACAAGTGCAAGCTTGGTTGGGAGGATTCACTAAGGATGCTTTGAGAGTATGTTGCAGAGTGCGAGTGTTCGTGTACCAGTAGATAAATCATACACGAATAGATGCATGTGAGCGTATATATGAATACACAAAATCTATGATATGTAGACGGAGTGATACTTACGAAGATAGCCGAACCACGGGCAAGCACACATGTGCGAAGATACACGCACGTAAAGCTAAGCACACACAAAACTATCTCTACAGCGAAAGATATCAACATACGTAAGGAGCCAGACATTTAAATTTAAAAATAAAACAAGAAACGACAAAAATTGTGGTGAAAATAGGTGCAGAACTCTGTACCCAGGAACTCATATACGAAAACAAAGCAAGGGTAATACGCTGCATGCTTGCTGAAATATGACGTGAACGTGTACATGGAAATACAACAACAGATACTTAGCACTTCAAATACAAGAGAGATTACTGTAGTTGTATACTAGAAAAGTACAATATAAGAGTTTGATATAGCTAAAGATTATAATGGTATGTTTTCGAGGCCTTATGTTTTCGAGGCCTTATACGTATCTATATAAATGCGTACAAAAAGTGCACACATTATACACATAAATATACAAAATGTAAATCTTCAGCTAATTGTGAATAGATCTTGAAGGCTAAGAAATTTGATTACATATTTATAAGTGAACAAAGATAGACAAATACAAACAAATACACATGATGACGAATAAAACACACATACATACTCAAGTTTATGTATAAACACGCAAGATAAAAATACTTTGCGACCAATAAGATTCCACACTCAAACGCTCCTACACACGCACACAGTGAATCTATATGTACATTTCGAGAATGTAGATGAGCGTGTTTATGCTATTACCAGAAACTAGATACTTTGAGTTGATATTAGACAACGGTATATAATTCTGTATTCGGACATGGCGAGGTACGTGATATATGGAAACTATAGACAATAATTTTAGACTTTTAGGTGAAGAATACATATGAAAATCTGTATATACTCAGATGCATAAAAAAATGGAATGTGAGATACACGCAAAAGTATAAAATATCAAATATGTAAATAAATGAAACGCAATACGCACACCCATATATATACATATATGTATACACATACACAAATATATACATATACATATATGTATACACACATACACACACACACATATATATATATATATAGATATATATATATATGTATATATATATATATATATATAGTANATATATATATATATATATATATATATATA